TCTGCCTAGCCAACGTCTTCTAACTGGAATGGCATCTCTCTTCCCATAAAGAGCTCAACAATTTGAAAAAAGGATAAGCAAAGCTTCTATGCAAATACAAGAATCAGCTGCAATGAACACTTGGTGAACATTGTGTGTTCCAAGACTTCTTTTATATTTGTCTTTACTCAATAAGTGTTAAAGAAAAAAAGTCTTCTGCAATGCCTGTGACAATGCTGACTGAAAAAAAAAATTCTCTAACTAGGACACTTAATAAAAAAGTTCGTTGCAGATCTGCAGCTCTTGGTTTGCCCTTCATGACTGCTCCTTCATTCTTATTGAAAGAGATTTGGTAATTTATGCAGCATTTTTGCCTATTACCACTAATTTGCTCATTTGAGGGATATCTAAACTCATGGTCACTGATAAAAAGATTCTAAAGGCAAATACTCCATCAGATAAGGAAGGTGTTTCACTGACTTCCATTCTCCGAGTTCAGTTTTCTTGGACTGAGATAACATCCATGACATATAGTTTCTTAGTCTATTAACAGCAGGAAATACAGGCCCACTTACAATACTTTGTATAGTTTCCTCTTGAACTAACAAGTTTCCCTCTCCAAAACATAAACTTCAGGAATTCAGAAACAACTAAGAAGGGGTCCCTAAACTGATCCTCTCATCCTGGCAAATCTTAGAAAATTCCCCCTTCATTTGATATTTTATCAGCACTTGAAATCTGAGAACTATAAAGTTTTATAATTTGGGTGCAGATATTAATAACTTCTCTAATCAAGAGAAGATATTTGAATTTTAATCTCAAGTCTGTTCAAAAAGGAATTTTTTTTTCACAGCACTAACAAACCAAATGTTTATTGGACAATTTACCAATAATCTAGTGGCCATTGCTTATCTGAATTTGAACTTATTGCCAGTTTGTACTTGTATTGTTTTTTAATGAAAAAAAAAAGTGATTACATTAATTTCTGAGCCTTCTTTCCTGTAAGGTGACCTTGTAGCATTTTTCCTAAGTTCATGTATTGTTTCTGTTTCCCCCACCAGGTTTCTTTCTCATCTGTTATTACTAGTCTGGCTCATTTTCCCTCATCAGTCTTCTCATCTACCCAGTGTATTCACAGCTTGTAGTTTGGAGAGACTGCAAATGGCACTAAAGGGCAGAAAAAATATTTTTTTCTATTATTCTATGTTCAAACCTGCTTCAGGGTTATTGTTGGGCTGGCTGAATGTATATATTGGAAAGAACTGTTGGCATTAAACAACTCTGAAGATTATATCCTCACCCTTTTTCTGTTCAGATAAATCAATGTGGTGATTAAGGCTAGGTGAATGATACACTTGCTAACAGGAAAGGCAACTCAAAGCAGTTAATACACACTAATAAAAGAGAAGAAAAAGCTTTCTGCTCTGGAGATCAATGGAAGGATACAGGACAGGACTCAAATAAAAGCTTCTCAGGTTATGTATACAACAAAGAACACTCAGAAAATTCGACCAAGACTGTAGGAAGCCATTAATACGCATCAGGATTTGTGACAGTAACATAAAGTAACATAAAGTAACATAAATGTCTGAACCCTTAGGGCTTTGAGACCAGTTTGCTCCCTGCAGAAAGATGAACGTAGGCACTTTCGGGAAATGCTGTTGCAACATTTTATCAACACTGTGCATATGCCAGTGCCAGACCTTCTTCGGGGAAGGTGGTTGTACCACGCTCCGGAGCCCCGGGAACGGGAACTCGTACAGCCACGGGGCACCAAGGCAGAGGTGGCCGGGCTGCCATCTGCCACCCAGGGCTGAGACTCTGTCCAGACCGTGCTGGGTCCAGCATCCATGGCAGTTACACAGGAGAGAAGTGACACCAGCTCTGAGGTTCTCCTCATGTCTCGCTTCCTCTTGGCTGGCAACAGTGCAGAGATTTTGGATATGACACTTTGGCAGCCTTTAGCAGCTGATAGCGATCGGTGTCTCCACCCTGTCTCACCTCTGTAAATCATCAGGATTTCTTCATTGCTCTTTTTCTCCAGAAAAAGATAAAAACTGTCTTGTAAAACTGCACACAAATGTGCTAGGTTGGGTAATTTGGATGCCAATAGCATAGTCCAAACTGAGAACTCTTTTACTGCCGTGTGCTTCATCCAGCGACCCCACGCCCAGACAGTACCATTAATTCTCCATTCACAACGAATTCCAGCCTTTCTATTACAACTGTCTACAGCCAGAGGTAGAGACAACATTCTGAATAGCAGACATACCCAAAACGCACACAGCTCTGCTGATGGATGGGGCGGGTCACTAGTGATGAAGAACTGTAAAAAGGCTGAGATGCTCAAAGCCCTCTTTCCCTTGTTCTTTACTAGCAAGGTCAGCCCTTAGGGTTCACAGAGCTCTATGCCTAGTTTGGCAAGGTTTGCAGAGACTTCAGCAAATTACATGTTTGCAAGTCCTTAGGAGCTGCTTGTAAAGGTGCTGAGGAGGGTGATTAACTTCATTGTGCTGCATCCTATCACCTTCTAAAGGCTGTGGCTATCAGATGGGATTTCCAGTTACTGGAAAAAAGCAAATGTCACATCCATCATCAAAGCAAGGTGCAGGTAACTACAGAGCAGTCATCCTTACCAGGTATCTCAGAGGAGATAATGAAGGACACATTTCTGAAAGCCATTTCTAGATGACAAAGGATGAGTCAATTCAGAAAACCAGCTGAGTTCCATCAACTCATTTGTCTTCAGTCATGAGAGAGTTGGCTCTATGACTGAAGTGATAAGAGCAGCACATACTGATTTTAGCAAGGGTCTTTCGATGTGACATCCACAGCATCTTTGTAGTCCAGTAGGGACGGGGTAAGTAGACGAGGTGGGTGGCAGTCTGAAACACTTAAAAAGTAGTGATGACCAGTCTGAAGTGAAACTGGTATCTGGTTATGAGTGATGTTCCTTGGGGTTCAGTAAGAGAATTAGACTAGAGGAACTCTGGAGGTCATACATTTTTCTCTGATTTTGTGATGAAGCCTTGCAGGGCACTCCTTAGAATTTGGGTCCACATATTGAAACAACAAATTGTTCAGGTTTCTGTTATTAACGGGTTAGGCTGCAGGCTTTCCTTTATTCTGAGCTCATGCAGCTGATTTTGCATGATATGAAGTGGCACTGCATCATGAGGCATTTCCAGCTAAGCAGCTTCTCATTGTGAGATCTGCTATGGTGTCCTGACCAGCAGTGACATCCCCACAACTCCAGAACACAGTCATTGCGTGAAAACAATCCATTCCATGCTTAATTTGGGGACTTGTAGGTAACAGCAGGAAGTGAGAAAGAAGCAATACAGTAAGACGACTTCTAGAAAGGATAATTTATTATTTTAGGCCCACATAGTTTTCTTGGAGTGTCCCCATCTCACAGCTATTCTGATGCAGAATAGGCTTTTATTTACAGTACTTGTGCAGCCTGGATCTTTCGACTTCACCAACTCGCAGTTAAAACAGTTCACGCTTGTCCAGGAAGCTTACTTCGTTCATGTGCCCTTTATGCATTTCTCTCTCTTTGTAATGTAACATTAACTAATTAATTAAATTAACAGCCGGTTTCTTTGTTTCCATCTGGGAAACTTACTCTGCTCCAGCTCCCCTCCCTAAAGTTAAACAATAATGAACAAGCTTTCTTAAGATACAGGCTTTTCATTGTTCCCTTTGCACAAGGTCTGGTCAGATACTGTTAGTCTTTAAAAGCTGTTTCATTCACCAGCAGAAATGATAACGCTATGCACAGACTTCACAATTCAATCAGAGTTCATTAGGTTTAGAAACATTTTCCAAATCTTTATATGCTATATGATTAAAGTTTTGGTATTTTTCCCCCATAAAAATATGTTTTCACCTGGGATGGAATTTGCATGCCAACTATATTAGTAGGGAAATTGTTTCCTGCTGCATTTAATAGTACTGTAATGATTTTACAGTTAGCTTTCCAGGTTTTGCTGACCCGCAGAAGCAGCTTGTACAACTCCATCTCCTGCTCCTGTCTCCTAGAGGTTCTACATAGCAGGCAAAGGCTTTTCTCAAGGCTCTTTCAACCCCTCTTGTTATTTCTTAGGTAATTGCAATAGTTAATAGAAAATGTAACGTTTATATAGCTTTTAGCACCTGTGTTGTGTTATTTTCTCACGTACTGTGTATCTAAGATACAAGATTGAATTTGGTCTTTAAAGGCTGTATTATTCTCGTTAAATGGCTCTAAACAGAATGCTGTGAAGTACTGCAGGTTTGGACAGGACAAAGCACAAACAGACTTTAGTGCCATTCAGTGGCTTGATGGAAACATCATAAGCAAAAGGATTTTTTTTTTTTTTTTTTTTTTTTTTTGGTTAAGATTTTAAGCAGAATGAAATCACGGTTGAATCTTTGTGAAGACTTAGTTTTCCTGGTTTCAGTCGTGTGCGATCAGATTTGAGACTCTTCTTGTCTCGTTTTGTTGATGTTTTGAGAGTGCTGTACCTAAACTTCAGAAAGCTCTCCTCAGGTGTCTGCACTGGCGGTGCGATAAGGACAAGTTTAACCAAGTCCAAGGTCTCGCTTTGCCCTGTAGCTAAAACATCTTATTTTCACCTTGTGCCTTTGCTGAACCCGGCCCAGCCGGTCTGGATCCGAGGGGTTCCGGGACACGTCTGGCGGCCCGCGGGAGCCGCGCTCCGCAGGTCCCGGCTCGGGCTGGCGGGAGCCGGCAGAAGCGCCGCCGCCCGCCGATGCAGGCGGCCCGGGCGCGGTCCCGGCACCTGCGGCTGCCGCCGGGCCGGGCCCGTCCCGTCCTGCCCTGCCCACTCCGGTCCAGGACGGCCCGGTCCTGCCCTGCCCACTCCGGTCCAGGATGATCCGGTCCGGTCCGATGCGGTACCGGGGCCACGCGCCGTCCGCCGCCACCTCCCCGGTGACGTCACAGCGCGGTGACGTGTCGGCCGGCGGCGCGGGGGCCGCCGGAAGCGGCGGGAGGCGGCGCGGGGCCGGCGCGGCGGGGAGCGGAGCGGAGCGGAGCGGGTTGGTGCCGCCGGAGCGGCAGCGGCGCAGCGCGGAGCTCCAGCCCTGCGTTCCTTCCTTCCGTCCTTGTGCTCCTGCCTTCGCTCCGCGGCAGCGCCGGTACCGATGAGCGGGCTCCGAGCGCCCGGCGTGCGGCCGGTGCCGACCTGCCTGCTCCTGCTGGGGCTGCTCCTGCCCGCCGCCGCCGCGGGGTGCGAGCTGGAGGCTGCGGACGGCGGCGGCGGCCGGCGCGGAGGACGGGGAGGCGCGGCCGCTGCGGCGGAGCCGGTGACAGGTAACGGCCCCGCGCGTCCCGCCGGCGGGCGCGCTGTCGGGGCAGGGCTGGGACGCGGTTCTCCGGCGCCTCCGAGCCGCCTGCCGCCGCCGCGGGGCCGGGCGCGGTGCGGCTCTGCAGAGGGCGCCGGGCCGGTCTGCAGGGGGTCCGGCTGCGGCGGCGGCGCTGCGGTACTGCCCGGCGCGGCCCTTCCCGGGAAGGAGCCCGCCGCAGGATGTGTGCAGGATCCTGTTGAATAGCGATATTGTTGAGATCCGGAGCCGCCGCTTCCGCGTCGGCTCCCGCGGTGCCGCCCGTGCGGGTGTCCGGGGCGCCGCCGGCCGCGGCCGGGAACGGCGGAGCGCGCCCGCCCCGGCGCCGCGCCCGCGGGCGGCTCCGGCCGGGACCCGGCACGGGCAGCTCCCGGGTCCCCTGCATCGCCGCGCTGCTCCTGCGAGCGCAGAGCTGTCCATCCCTGCCCCAGGGGGTTTAGTTCTCCGGGAAAGGGGAAGGCATTCCAGCCTTAATTCTTTAAAGAAAAGTCACATTATCGTACTTAGGGCAATTGGGAATGCCTGCAATTAATACCAGCGGTTATACCGAAACATTTAAAATAATCTAATTTCAGCAGGCTTTGATGGTTCTGAATGGCTTATACGTGTTCCGAATCTATCTTGTAATGAACAGGAGGAAGCTTTACTGCCTTCAGACAGTTCACTTAAGAAAATGGGATTTGTACGTTAGGAAATAATCGGAAATATTTAGAAGTTTGCCCTGTTTCATAATGTGCTTTCCAAAAAGCTCCGTAATTGGAGGGAAGAACATGGAAGGTGGACGAAACAAGAAAAACCCATATCCCTTCAGAATCAAAGTGGTGTGCGTTTCTCAGAGAAAAACTTAACGATGATGTTGTTTGGAGTAGTATTGACACCCTGAACTGCAAGTGTTGAACTTCAGCTGATGACACATACCTGGGTTTCTTCTCAGCCCAACACCTTAAAGAAATGAATTTTAATTAGAATTAACGAAACTTCAGCAGTAGTCATGAAATAATTCCAAGGTAGAGATGCAAAGCTACGTGATCTAGTGGTCCTGTTTGGGGACGCGACATTTCTGGAACGGGAATTGTCCAATCTCTTGGCTCGCTGTATGAACTAAGGAAGTTGGAACATCCGCAGTCTGTGAAGCAGCAGTTGTACCTCCCAAGGGTGTTGTGGAAGTGCTGTATCAGAACAGCTCTCTTTGTTTTTTGATGGTGATTGATCTGGTTGTAGGTGGTATTAAGCAGTTCTTACTATGAATACTGCTGATGCTGTCTACATTTTGTGCTTAGTCAATTTTGATGTGTCAGTCTCTATGGAAAAAACCAAAATTTTAAAATGTATTATAGACTGTAAAGGTACTGAGATGCCTATCAGTTGTGTTTTCTCCCACTTAATAGTGACTCTGGTGAAGAAGAAATACAATTATTTAAGAAATCTAACATGCTCTGAGTGGATTTATTGTGTTACATGACAGTATGGTCTGCAAAATACATATGCTTAAAAGCCATCTTCGAGTTTTACATTTGAGGCGGTTTCAGCATAGTTCTGTGTTCATCCACTTAATAAATACAAGTTTCAATTTATCATGGAGGTTGTTTGCCTATCTAACTAACTCCCAAATAGTTTTAAGTTACTTTTTGCAAAGTTGGAAGAAGGTTTTTGAAGGTTTGGAAAAAAACAGATGGCTTTTTCAGGGGGTTATTTTAGTTATGTTATCTGTCATTTTACTAAAAGGTGAAAGTTGCAGATGTGCTGCTGAGTTAGGAAACTCATCTGGAAAACAACAGGATAAACTTTTAGTTCAGTAATTTTGATTGGTTTGAGAAGACAGTCCAGAAGATAAAAAGCTACTAAATATAAAATGCTGCAGTAGGAAGAGGCTATGGGTTGCTTAGATAGAGATGTTTGGGAAACAGCTGTAGGAAATAATTTAGGACTTCTAGTCACAAATTGGTCAAATGAGCAACTTGCAGCTGGCAAAAGTAGATGCCATCCTTGGATATGTTGACTGAGTTTAAATTACAGGAGGCTTTTTTCTTTTCTTTTTTTTTTTTTTGATAGCACTTTTATGTCTGCTTTTGACTATTAAATCCAAATAGTACAGTGGAATGTAGCAATGTGGTTTGAGAGGTTCAGAACCTATGAATTAATTTTTTATTTTTTGTTAAAGTATTGGATTATTTAGATGTGGTGGAAAAGGTGGTGGGATGGGTATGTAAGAAATGGTTCACAGAAGCACCGGGAGTTTTTTTAAACTTTTCTTTCTGTATTTTTAAAAATTTTTTAAATGTTTTTTTCATTTTTTTTACTGTGGTTGAGATGTTAAGAGGAAGTAAATTTTAGTGGGTGTGATTGAGATTAAATATAGGCTGGAAAGTTTTTACCTATAGCAGTCAAATTGTGTAGATTGTTACACAGGTTCCCAGTATCAGAGGTTTTTATTGGCTTAGAGGAGAAACTGGCAAAGATAATCTAGATTTTTGTCAGAAAAGGGAAGTGTGATGAGTTTCAGGGAGAGCCTATGGTTCTATTTTTGCCATATTTTATCAGATGTTCAGGTGTTTGCTTAATTGAGTACATAGATTATCATTACTGTTGTCTTTCCTGTGTATATGTGCCTTTTTAACAGTATAAATGACAGCTGGATGTGTAATGTGACACTGTGCTTGAAGGTATTTAGATGTGATTATGAAAATTGGACCAACGGAACTATGTCTTCCTTGGAGGGAACACCATGAGGCTGTTTGCTATTCACTCCAGATCTGCTTGTTCACTACTTAACTTCCCTAAAACAGATGGTTTTAAGGAACCTTCTGTTCTAAACTTGAAGATAGCACTGGATTTTCACATTTTCATATTCACCCAATTTTAAGTTGTGTTGTGATTCTTTTTATGTTTAAATTTAATCAATGATCATGGATTAACTTGGCTGCTTTTAAGTGTGATAGAGAACCTGCACCTGTGTTTGGCTAATAAATTTCTTTCAATTTATGTCTTATAATATTTCAGACTAGTTTTAACTACAGCGCTGCATTGAAGAAACAATAGGCAACATAATGTAACTTTTTTTTAGTAATTCAAAGATTTTTCTTTTAATTACATTTTTATTCTGGAACTTAGCCATCATATTAACACTCGGAGCTCTTCAAATTAATCAGACTTTGGCATTTGAGAAGCGAAGGTTTCTGGAATATGTGTTTTTAGCTGCAACTCTACATTTGGCTTAAGCTGTTGTAGTGTGGGTGGCTGTTTAAGTGGGGCTTTTTTCTCTGGATGGACCCCAGCTGGCTGTTCAGGCACTATTGTTACCAGAAGAGAGCTAGCAGGAGTGGGCGTGCTCAGCCCACTGCTGGAAACCCACCAGAGGGAAGGAGTTCTGTGCTCTCTTTCTGCTTTGTAGCACCTGACTTGCCCTAATGTTGTGATGAGCACTGTCTGTTGCTTTGGCTCGCAGGAATGTGACAAGAACCAGAGGCAACAGGTAAAATGATGAATTTCTTATCAGACTCTTTCCTGACTTACTTTAGGCCTGGTGCCAGTGCAAAGAAGAGGGAGGACCAGGTGTCAAGAGAAGGGGAAAAAGGATGGTCTGCTTCCTGTGATGACACCTAGTGATAGTCTGAACAGAGCTGTCCATAGAATTTTATCACTAAGGTGACTGTGAAACTGCATCAGTGACCTTTTTGGGGCTTGAATGATGCATTTGGAATTTGGTGGTTGTGTGTGAGACTTCATGTACGGTGAGCTAATACAAAGAGAATGGTGAATTTGGACACATAGTGAAATGCTTTTGCATGAGTTTGGCATGCACTTATCTTAAAAGTTTGTGAGCTATGAGACTTCTGTTGCTTTCTTAGTAAACTGCTAGTAGATTTCTGTAGTGACAGAGACTCAGCATTACAGGTTTGTTTTTTTTAGTTTTTTGGTTTTTGCAGTTTCATTTCTTGTGTTTGTGTCTAGTAAAGCTGCTTGTAATTTGGTTTTACTGTTTCTGGTGGGAGGACAGAAATTTCAAGTCCTGTCTCCTCTAAAGGGTGTTGACTTCAAGCTATCATTTACTTTTTCATAGCATCTCAATGCAGTCATCTGTCTTTGAAAGAGAATTAGTTTCTTGGTTTAATTAAGTTTTTAATTTCTTAGCATATTTTTTATTTTTAGTGATGAAGAATAGAAGAAATTCAGGAGAGATGTGTGTTTCTATAGCTCAGTCAGCAGTTGTATTCTCATGACTATGAGATACAGTTAAAAAAGCTGTGAATGGGTGAATTTTTAGACAGTTTTGAAACAAATATTAAAAAACAATTAACCAGGAAAAATCTTGGCCTTTATGTAGCTTAGTATATTGGACTCTCACTCAGAGATAAGACAATAAAGCACTTGTAACTTCCTTTGCCCTTAACTGAGCTTTTTTTACCCTACAGCATTCCACTGTTTAAATTGTAACTCTTCAGTGCTTCTGCCAGTGTGTTCTGTACTTTCTGGTGTCCTGTGTGGTTTTTCCTTCACCTCTTCTGAGGATTCAGTCTTAGTGTTTTAGTTTAGACAGGTTATTTAGCTGTTTTTTTTCCCCTAGTGTTAGAGTAGTAGTAAGTAGCAGACCCTTTCTTAATACCCCCAGTGTTGCTCCCTGAAATGTTGGAGCTCTGTCATCTCTCCATCAGCAGGTTTTTGTGTTGCCCTTTCAGCTGTAAGCTTTCTGAAGGCATCTCTGCTTTTCTGAGGACCTCCTACTCCATTCTGCAAAGCTGGGCCTATGCAACTTGGGCATGACTCATTTTCTTCTGCCTAACTCCAGGGATACTGATCTATCATAACTAGCTTGGGCTGCCATGTATTTGTCAAAAGAGGATTGTACCCAGTGACAGGAGCAGTTGATCTTGATAAGATTTCCTATGATGATACTACTGCTATGAAAATCACCTAAAAATGCTGGGGTTTTGTAGCATTTGTATGAAGTAAGCAGTTTGATAGCCATCT